AGCCCTGCATTATAAATCCTGGTTGAACAAGTTTTTCTACAAAAATATTTAAAAAAACGGCGGGTATTAACCCCCCCCCCCCCCTTAAGTTTCTGGTTTAAAGTAAAACCAGCCCGAGATCTCTATCTTGAGCTGTATTAAGGAAAAGGGATTTACAGTGAAGGTTGGTGTTCGGCCGTGGACTCTAGAAAACTCTGGAACAGTAATAGATAGAGAGCAAAAAAAATATTGTGATCACAGCTTTGAGTGTACAACATTTGCTGAAAGTTTGATCAAAATCGGATGTAAGACAAAATAGTTTTTTTCTGAGGGGAGGGCCCTGAAAAGAAAAATTTAGCTTTAGACAAAAAACTAGATGTTTAAACAAACATAAAAATGACAGATCAACTTGATTACTTCCGCAACAACAGTCCGATATTATTCGATTTCAAATTATTTTAATGTTGAAATAGAATATGAAAACTGTACTGGCGCCGGCTAAAATTGATAGATGAAGTTTCCGGTGTTCAATTATTTCATGAAAAGTTTCATGACGATAGTGACTTGGACTCCAAAGACATTTGTAAAGGCATCGTGACCGTCATAGGGGGGTACCCTTAAGAGGCGACATGTTTTAATTTTTCATAGAAATCAGTGCAAATAAATAATTGAATTGCGCAATTTTTTTGTTGTACGTACAGACAGTTTATTCCTATCATCATACTTTTTTCGTCTGGAGTAGAAAAAATCTGGGAAAAAACCAACTCTATGGTGTGAGAAAGAGATTAAAAACATAGATGAAGATTTATTGTTTATTTGAAGTCTGAATAAATATACAATATAACACGTTAAGATATAAACTGTTTATATTCTTAGAACTCAAATTTGCCTTTGTGTGTCTTTAACAGGTAAAATAATTTTCTTTTTTTGGCAATTTCCTACTCACAACGCAGGTAAATGTACCTAAAAGGCATCAAAAAATAATTTTATTTTTAGTTATAAACACATATCGGTCCAAAGGTAAGAGGTACATATACAACAATTAGAATAATTCATATTTCTTTTTTAAACCTTAAAAATATGAGTTTGTAGACAGAACAGCATTATTCAAACAATCAAAGTCAAAAATATCAGTACATAACGGGTGGTCCAGAATAAATTGATCGCATAGTATTTTTCTCATATCTCAGTTGGATTTGATCCCCTTCTAAGGTTTATTGTTTTCTTAAAAGGTGCGCCGTGAATTCTCTACAAAAAATATATTAGTCCATCTGCTTTGCAACCCAAAAAACAACGAAACTAAATTTATTTTGAACACAATGCTATACGTCAGAATGGAATCAGAACGTAAGTTCTGGTGTAAAATTTAACGAAAAAAGGGGAAATTTGTCTTTTTCGCCGTGACACAGGAAAAGAAGAGAAAATATTTGATTTTCTCTGTAAACGGATGTAAACGAAGAAGTTACTTCAAGATAAAACAAACTCGGCCTCAAAATGTTTGATTTTTGTTTTTTTTAAACTTTAACTTTCATCTTTCCAGTCCAAATGCCACTGAAATCGGGTTACCCCATTGCATCTATGTCCAAAGGTACCGAGACAATGAGCATTAGATAACTTGTCCAAGACTATCACGCGACCGCCGTTGCCGGGATTCGAACTCTGTACGTTTGAACTCCGTTGTCTGCCCCCTAGCCGACTGAGTCACTGCTCAATGTTTGATTTTGTTCGAGTTATAAAAGTTTTTCTAACTGTATCAAAAGTGTTGAAAAATGTTGATTTCGGAGATATCAATAAAAGAGAAAAAATTCTCTCACAACCGATTATGATTACGAAGAGTTTGTAATATAGCCACTTGAGAGAGCTTTTTAAGGGTTACCAAACGGCCTTCTTCTTGTTTTTTTGTTCGCAAAATACGAAGGACTCAAATTGAAAAAATTGTTTTTTGGGTTGCAAAGTAATCGAGATTGAAACTTCGCAATATTTCTTCTATATTCTTTTATCTTTACAGTACATAAAAAAATACTTAATAAAAAAATATTTAAATATATTTTTTTGTAGGGAATTCTCGGCGCATCTTTTAAGAAAACGCTAAAGCTTACCCAGGTCCAATTTTACGACTGCCGTAAACGACCGTATACAGCCGTATATGACCGCCGCAAATCACTGTTTGGGGTCGTATTTGCATCATAAACGGTCGTATACAGTGCAAATACGGCAGTAAGCGGCCGTAACTACACCGTAAATACGCCGCCCGTTTTACGGCCGTAACTGCACCGTGACAGTTTACGGCCGTTAACAGTCAATTTAGAAAAAATTATTTTTCGTTTCCAGCATCTTCTACAGAAGCTGTATACCGAGCTTCAGGACGTCACCCATGCGTTGTATCCTCTTGAATATCACTTACCACTCACATACATACAATTATAATTGTTTGCCAGGATTGAGATTCGAACACACGTACGTACCTACAATTATAAATCCAGCACATTCTGGTTATACCATATTGCTTGTAAACAAAAGTGTGAATTTGCTATTCATTTTTGCAATAAACACCATGAATTTCCACGCGTGGGATCCCTGTGGCTTTCGTCAAACTTCCATATATAGTATAGTAATCATAGTTTTCTGAAGTGGAAATAAATTGTAAGATGCCACCGAGAGATTGGCCACCAAGTGGCCGCTTTTTTGCTGTTTTGAGAATGTTAACGCTCCGTTTTTTGTGTGACCGTTAACTAGACGTTAACGGGCCGTTTTATTGGACCTGGGTAATTGATCAAAAGAACAATTTGATGCCATTTTGATCACATAACGAACACTAGTTCATATTGGAAAACTTATAAGAATACATTTGCGATGGAATTCCAAGGAACACAAATCACAGGAAATTCGACGTATACGGCAGTCGTAAACCGCCGTACACGACTAATGTGTATCGCCGTACGTGGCCGTATACGGTCGTTTACAGCCGTGTCTATTAGACCTGGGTAGGAGAGGATAAAATACAACTGAGAGATGAGAAAAATACTAAGTGATCGATTTATTCTGAACCACTCGTTATATATATGTGCTTAACTGAGCTCTTGTTTTTCAGTTACAGAATCCTTGACAGTTATCACATCTTAACAGTTAACATAATCTTCTTGTTAATTTTCAATTACCGCGTATTAATATTGATTTATCTGATATATTCTAGGGCAACGCTTACGCTCATTAACAAACATGATAAATGATACATCAATTTCAGAGATGGCTGTTATCTCATCAACGATATTATCCCATGATTCACTTACTATTTCTTCTACTGTTGTACCTCTGAATATTCCTTTATCATCGTCAAGTATTTCAAATAATGTTGAAGATGATGATGTACGGCTAAGTAAAGAGGAATCAGACAATTCTATCGTTCCTCCACATATATACTCAATATTCGGGTTATATTTTACTGTTGGCCCAGATTACTATGAACTGAAACATCTTGCACGCGGTTCATACGGTCATATTGTGAAAGCTAAACATGATCTTTCAAATAATAAAACGATTGATGTTGCTATTAAAAGACTTGACATTAAAGTTCCTAATCTGTCAGTAAGAGAAAAAATTTCATATTACAAAGATATTTATCAAGAAATATTTATTCCAAGTCAATTAGATGAACATGAAAATCTTATGAAAATTGATGATATTATTGTGCCATCTCAGTCTTTCAAACATTTAAAAGAAATATATTTAGTACAAAAATTAATGGATGAAGATTTATGTAAAGTAATAAAAACTCGACAAACATTAAATGTTAAATACATCATGTATAAAATAATCTCAGGAATCCGATTTATTCATTCAGCAAATGTTGGTAAGTACTACAACCTTTTATTTTTCTGAAATTGAAAAGTTTCAATTTTTCACTTATAGTTGTTTGATATTTCATTTTAGTGCATCGCGATTTAACACCAAATAATATTCTTATTAAAAAGGATGAATTATTCATTAGTGATTTTGGCTTTGCCACAGCTGGTAGAATCAGTGAGTTTCTTTTCATCAATTAGTTTGTTTGAGTTTATCTAAATTGAATTTATTAAATTTTAGTATTTGATGATTTAGAAGGTGACTGGTGTTATCCAATGTCTGAAGAAATGAATAATCAAGGTATGTACAAACAGATAGACACAGATATAGATGATAAAAATGATTCCCATTTTTAGTCGGTACCAGAGGTTATAGGGCACCAGAATTACTGTTAGCTTGTCCATATTATACTAAAGCCGTTGACATGTGGTCTGTGGGATGCATATTTGGCGAAATGTTATCTAAATGCAAAATATTTCATTCTTATCATGATTTACCGAATCTTAGAGAAATATTTGAATTAATTGGATGGCCTGTATCAAACGAAGATTTAGAATGGTTACCCGATCATTCTCGTCAATATATCACGAAGCACTTCAACAATAATCCCCCACAATTACGTTCATTCGAAGAATTATTTCCTTCCTCTCCACCAGATGATGATGCATTAGATTTACTAACAAATTTATTAAAATTTAATCCCTACAAACGGCTAACGGCTGAGCAAGCAATATTACATCCATATTTTCAAATATATAACAACAACAATCCAACACCAACCTCTAATAAACTACTGTGGATTGAATTAGATCATCTGAACACTGTAGATGATGTAAAAAAGTTTTTATTTGACGAAGCCATAAATATTCGAACACGACTACATTCGCAGAAGTCTATCACTGGAAGAAAAAATGAAATTGAAAATTGAAAAAATTATTTCATATAAAAGTAAATGAATAGAGAAAGATATATGAGAATGACAGAAAGAATACAGAGTAACTAAACGAAAAAGGACAAAACAAAGAAAAAAATTAATTTCATTTAATAAGTTGTGCACGAATATATAAAACATTTTTTGAATAGTTTATTGTTTATTTTCAGTTATATTCATTTTGTTTAATAATATTGACAAAAATTTATCGTATTTGGAACATATTAATTTCAACAAATATTTATATCAAAATTTATTTGGCATCAATATTATTCGATGTACAGATTAATTTCGATGATGTATGAAAAAGAATCCAATGATGCCAGAACGATTGTTTAAGCTGTTGTAATGATCTAAAATATTATGATATTTCCAACAAGCAAAAAATTTGCTGCTAGTGACAAAACTAAGATCAAGTATTTACAAATGTTATGTCTTCGTTATTGATATATCAAAGAACTAGTATAATCGGTGTGGAATTTTGAATGCAGTTGTGACAGTTGTTGAACGTCGTAATCTATTATCCACAAATGTTACTACGCATGATATTTATTCATTTGAAGAGCTTATGAATACAGTTAAAAGAATGTTACCGGAACTTGTGAAATCGTTTCTGTTCAATGTATGTATACAACATCTACGCTCATTTAGCTCCCCAATACATATTAATGTAAAATCTATCGAATTTTACCTTTCATTTTTGACCGTTTTTTGATCTTTAGATTTCTGTGAAATACATTTGTCTAAAATATTGGAAAAAATGTATCAAAATTAAATGATCAAAACATTCATATATTACAAGGAAACGCCGATTTGACTGTTTTCATATTAAACTATTTTACTGATAAACTTGCTGGTTTAAAAAATCGATTTTGCTCTATAAAGTTTTATTTTAAATCTAATATCAGTACATGTATTCAATTCGTCTCGTTTTTCAATCAATTTTCAATCGAATATCATTTAAATTAAAATTAAATCGATTTTCTGGATGCCTAAATTCCTAAAAAACACGTTTTATAGATGTTGGTTTTGTCGAGTCTCATATACATACAAATTGTAAATGGAGTGGGGAGGAGTATTATTCCAAATAGTGATGCTGTCATGCTGACTCCAAAGACCTTCTATGAAGGTGGTGCCCGTGGATCTGCGTAGCATTCTGTGCAACAAATTTTCGATTTGATACAGCACTTTTAATGATGATTAGTTCGGATAAATGAACACTAGAAGATAAATTTTTACAGGCTGAAAAAGAGACATAATTTGAAAGACAGACACATGACAAGAAAATGTATGTCTCGACTGGGAATAGGATCCAGGACTTGTGGTAACATGTCAAAAGCTCTAACCACTAAGCTAGCAAAACACAACCTAACATAAGCGTTTCTTTTCACGTGTTTGTCTACAAAATTATGTCTCTTTCTCAAACATATAAAAAATTCATCTTCTGGTTTCATCTGAATGTCCTGTTTCAAATTCATTTGTTTAACTGTTGTACTTAAAAAACCGATATAGTACCTTTTTTCAATGACAGTAAGTCTGTACAACAAATATGTTGCAGTTGAAAGGATTCGAAACTTGTAGCAATCCGAACATTGACTGAGCGTTGAATGAGCAGTAGGCTTAACTTGTGTAAAATTTTGGCTAAATTAGTATATGCAGCCAATTAGTATTTCAATACAATTCACAATTAAGCATGATTTATTCCATTTAAAATTCTAGACGGATGACGCAATAATAAATGCGTTTTACATCTGTTAGCCTGCATCCTTGCATGAATGACTTTTGCAACCGATCCCTTCCTTTTTTTTTCTCAAAATACAGTTTTTCCAAGCTAAACGGACCCTCTCAATAATTAGTAATGCAAACTTATATATCATACAATTACATTGAAACATCCAAGGCGCTAAATTCATCATGATTTATGATTAGTTTTTTACTATTTATATTTATATATTATATATCTAAAACTGCACAAATATGTTTTTTTGAGAAAATTGGATATACCATCTGTCTTTTCAAAGTTATTTCCAATCTCCATCTTGATAAAACATAGTTATTTTTTCTTTCGATTGAAAAAATATAACCAACTACTTGATATTATCACTCTACGCAAATAAGTGGATCACTGTGGCAAAATGAAATATAGCGAGGAACAGTTCAAATTACAACATTGTAACAAAACTCAACATCAATGCAAGCTGTCTGGACGTTTTGGAATAGTTTTCTAGTTTTCGAATTCTTAATTAGACAAAATTCATTTTATTTTTTAACGGTATCTCAACAAATCTGTCCAATTTGTAAAACTTGTCGAGTTGAGCGTGTCGACAAATTGCAGCCTAAAAAATAATGTGTCGCAAACGCCGCTGAGTGCCAGTAGCGCAAGGGGGAAACAGCAGATTTTGTGACTTTTGTAATCTGAGCTCCGTTCCGCAGACAATCAATTTTTTTCAAATTTTGTTGTACTCCTGGAGACTCCTTGTTATTCTTGGTGACTTCGATGGGTCCGAAGAATTTTCCTGACTGTTTTTGAATTTTCCCGCATTTTTTCCGCTTAGCCCTATTTCCAGTCAGTTTTACAGATTTTCGGGATTTCCACGGATTCTAATCCCTTTTTCCGATTTTTTTCTTGTACTCCCAGGGATTCCTCCAGTTTCTCGAACTTTGGGAAGTTTGTATAGAATTCTCCAGGCTTCAGTAAGTCTGGGAGTCCACAGCTGCTTGGAATTTTGCTGTTTTCTCCTTGCAGTAGAACACAGTAGAACACATATTTTTTCCATTGAGACCGCGACACATTTTCTGCGACATATATGACACATTCTTTTAACCATATAGAAAATAGTGCGAATTTAGCACAGCAACTATTCTCTTGATCGATATACCTCTTATTTATTGAAATATGCAATCTATAAAAACAATGTCCATATTCAAAACATCTAGTTTAAGTTTGTCCGTATTATTTGTATCATCGTTATTATTTACGTTTATCCTGTTCACGTGTAAATAGTCTTGAAACCAATCTTTGAAGCTGACTCATCAAAACAGTTATGGTAAAGATTCTCGCCGGGTAGTGTGTTCAATTGATACGATTCAATCTAGCTAACACTTTCATTTCAATAAACAAAACATCCATCTGTCAGCACCACTGATTTAGAACATGCATATTTTTAGTGTCGGAGAAGTTTCAACAACATCGCTTCTAGCGTGAGTGAGGAAACTAAGCTAGTAGTTGGATATAAAGCATCAGAGCTGCTTTCCAGTCGACGTACCTAGTAACATTGCATCCTAGTATCTGGTGATCGATCAATTTAGACACCGCTGTTAAAACCAGTTGACAATATTCATGTATCTACAACAACATTTCGTGTCCAAAACAATCTAGACCAAAACTTTCAGTGGCCGGATAAAACAGAATGCGACGAGATCCGATCGGATTGCGTCGGATTCGAACAATCGTATTTGACCTAAGAAAATCATGTATACGAACACATTGAAATTTATTCTCATTCTTCACGTGTGCTTTAATTGAGCTCGAATAATACTAAATCTAACTCTGCCTTTCATTTCTCTTGTATAATCCTTATTTGACTAACGTGTGAGGTTTGTATTTAACACTTTGAGCAGTCGGTCACTCACTTCTAACTGCGACCGGATCAACAACTTCAGGTTGAAGAAGTGGCAAAATGAAATTCAGTATTAATTGTTTGAAAAACGAGAACGATGCATCAACAACGGTATCATCATATGTGAAGGAGAGAAAAACTACAGAAAAGCGTATGTTTCGCACTGAACGATTAAGTCGTTTTTCATAAAAAATTGGCAATCTTCATGGTTATTGTTGTCAGGTTCTTCTTTCAGTTTCTACTAGATGAAATCAGGTCAAAGACAGAAATATATTTAGACATATCTAATGGGAATAATCGAATGTGGCATTCTCTTTCTAAAGTTATGAAATATAAAATGAAGAAGTATCTACGCCGTGACACACGTTTTTGGTAAGTGTATACAACATCCTGAAATGAAGTCTCTATGAACTTTTGCATGATCTATAAAACAAAACACAAAGGGAGAAAATTTATATTTGGATAGTAATATGAGACTTGTAGTATACTGATGTACTTACTCATATAGCTTATTGAAACTGAACTGCATAAACAAAATTTTTATGATCTTCATTATGTGTGTAATATGCTATAAAATTTTAGGAAATCTGCTTACCGAAGGGCAAATATCCTTTAATAATCATTGTTGTGACAAGTTGTATTGCGAAAGATCTGTCATTTATCTCTGTTTGCCCGCTTTTTATAGAAAATTCTATTCTATTTGTTCGAATTAGGTCATTTATTTCAATTTCTCGTTTTTCATTGACACCTTCTTTAAATTTTAAAAATACATCGAGGTTATCATTGACGAAAACTATTCACACCACGGTATAGCTAAGATGCTTGAAATTCAAATTTTGAGCAAAAATTTTTTTCCTTCTGCACATGGTTTGGATAGAAACAAAGTCAATCAATGAAATCGTTTATTTTTTATCTTTGGTTTTTTGGTCAGTTATTGTTTGCAAAAAATCAATTAATCAAAACAAAACAAACTGAATCAGTTAGATGTGATATACAATTTTTCTTGAGGTCGGTTAATAACACACACACACATGAGAAAAAAAAAATCAAAGTTAAAAAAATAAAACACTCACGCATATTGCAAAACACACAAAACAAAATGAAAATAATTGCAGATTAAATCTAGCACGAATGGAAGAAAAATATTTTTATTTTGTTCTAACATAATGATTCATGAGACGTATTGGCCAATTCTAAAATACAAATAAAATATTTTTATTATTATTAAAAATGTAGAAAATGTTTATAGTTATGTCTAGATATATCGATTGTATTATTTTGAATAATTTTAGAGATAAAAATCTACTTAAACAGCTTAGCAACAATAATATCCCCTACATATCGGATATTTACAATTTCATTGATTTGTTTTAGTAACTATTGAAAGATTCATAGTCTCTAAACAAAATAGCATCTCATTTGATGTAATTCTAAAATTTATAGAGATTAAAACTAATTTCAAAAATCATTTATTTCTAGCTGAATACTTAACTCACCTATACCCAATGATCGTTCGAACGATCATGATCAATTTTGAAGATTTACAGTTTATTCAACGGTAGCCTGTGTAAATGAGTTATACATGGTAAATATTGTGTAAATAAATAGAGTTAATTCTCATTTTACACTCTTTTATGATAAGATGGGGAACACTTTGAAATCGAAGTATTTTATCGTTTATTTTTTTCAAGAAATACATCTCAATTGTGATAATTCGAAATCCTTATCCTCTCGTCGGAGAGACAAGTATCTTAAGAGATCTTAACAGATACTTCCAGTAATAAAAAAATTTCAATTCTGAGAAAAATTTGTGCATAAACAACTGAATTATTTATAAATTCAAACTATTTTAATCATTTAGAATTTTATTCAGCATCCTACCATTTCTTATTGAATCGATTTGTGACAAGACAGATGTCGGTAAATGTGATGATAAACGCTGAAATTGTTGTCGACTAGATTGTTGTTGCATCGGTAATGATTTATCAGTAATTGTCAACTAAAACAAAAAAAAAAAGAAATGAATTAAAAAAGAAATATATTGAAAGAAAAAAACATGTCGAAAAATCGAAGAAACATTTCGTACTTGACTAAAATGTTCTAAACCATTTTTGACAACATCGGGATAACACGTTTTGGTCGATACGGATAAATCATCTGCATCGTCACTAGATCTAATACAAAATAAAATAAGTTAAAAAATTATTTTTTTATAATAAAAAAAAAAGAAGAAAATATTTAAGATCTTAAAGAATATTTCATACTTTATTTGAGTAATATTATTTAAATTTAATCTTGCATTTAATTCATATTGATTCCATATTTGATTTAATTTATCTAATAATCGTAATTTTTCATCATCTGTATGAAATGATAATTGTTTTTGATCAAATAAATTTTTCATTTTTGTTAATAATTGATTATTAATAGATAAATATTCATTTAATGTTCGATCAAGTTGTTCATTTAATAATGGTTCAAGTTTTATTTCATTTAATTGTTCAAATAGATGTGAATATTTTTTTAAAAATGCTCTTGAATGAGCAGCACATGTATAAATATGTTCAATAATAAGACGATTAACTCTTTCGTTTATTGTTTGTGAATTTGAATTTAAATATTCTCTTAAATAAATATGATCAATATGTACTTGACCTAAATCTTCTAAATAATTTTGATGTTCTTCAAATAATTTAACAAAATTAATTAAACGTGTATATTCTTCTAATAAAATGGTATGTATCGATTTAAATATAGTTATTAATTGATCATATTGATCTTGTCGTGTTAATATTGGATCAGAATTAGATAATTGATAAGAAGGTGAAACAACTTGACTATGAGAACGATATAAACGATTTGGTGTTTTTTTTGTTGATTTTAATTGTTGAATTTGTTCTAAGGCTTGTTTTAACTGTAAATATAAATCACGATTTTCTTTATTTAATTCAGAATTATCAACATCGGCCAATAATAAATCTTCACGTAATTTTGCTATTACACTAGCATTACCATCTAAACAAAAAAAATAATAAAATCATCAAATTTTTCTATAATTAAAATTGAGAAATATCATTTACTTGATTTATTATCATATTCTGTTATTGTTTTCTTCTCTACAGGTGTATTTAATAATTTTTCTAATTGTTCAACTTGTTTATTTGCCAATGATAATTTCATTTGAGCTGTTTTATAATCTTCTTCTAATGTTGAATGATCATCTTTCAATTTTAATAATTGTTCATTTAATTGATTATTTTCTTTCTTGAATAAAAAAATTAAATTAAATTTAAAATTAAAAATAACAAATGATATTATAGTCTATTTATTTATTATCTACCTCTAAATTATCAAATACTTGTTGCATTTGATCAACTTCTAATTTTAATTCACTTAAAATTTGACTACGACGATCACTATCAAATAATTTACCTTCTAATTCAACTAATTTACCACGTAATAAGAGATTTTCTTTACGTTCATTCTCATATTTTAACTAAATATACAATTATTATTGTTTTTAGTCAAGATATTCATTTATTACGGTTTTGTTTTGTTTTGTTTTACCTGTAAATCACCTTGTTTAAATTGTACTACTAAATGTTGATATTTTTGTTCTGTTTCACCTAATTTTTGTTCTAATTGTGAAATCATTTCTTGTTTACTATGAACAACTTTAACTAAATCTGTTGATATCACTTCTTTATTCGTATTATTTAGTGATGTTTGTAATTCATCTATTTTATTATTTGAGACATGATTGATGTCTCGATCATCGTTTGTTGATTGTTTGAGTATATCGTTAATAGGTGATATTTTTTGTGAATTTATTAGAGAAGAATTAATTGATACAATATCTTTGGGTGGAATAAAATCATCGGTTATTCGAGAAATTTCCGACTGAAAGATGGCAGGTTTGATGATCTAAATAGAGAGAAAAATGAAAAAATAAGTTAGAAATGAAAAATTTTATAACAAATCATTTTATTTCTCAAAAAAAAAAAGAAAAAGAAACTTTAACTAACAGTACCTTATTATTTTCGTTAACTTCTTTGCAACATTGTTCTTCATCTGTTTTATTAATTGCTGTTTGACTTTTTTGTTCAATTAATTGATAATAATCATTTTTAATATGTTCTAAATGAGAACGTAGAATATCGACCTAAAAGACAGAGATTATACTAAAATAATGTTAATGTTTGAAAATGAACCATAATTATAGCAGCTAACATAATTTTTATAAAATATATGATTAGTGGTGTATAAAATAGCGCGTGTACTTTTAAAATGAAGCAACTTTAGATAATTAAAGATAAGAAAAGCGTTTTTTTTTTTTTTTGTGTGTGTATTTTTTAATATGAGACTTTGGTAAGCAAAAGTACTTGCCTTTTTTCTCATTCGTTTATATCGAAGGCTAGCTGTATCAACAGTCGTCTCTTTTGATGGAGTACGCTGTTTCTTTATATCAGTAGAAGACAATGGTGGACGATCGCTCACTACTCGAGCTTGCCCAGGAGATTTTTGATGCTGATTTGGCAACTATAAAAATGGTTTAAATAACAGATAGTCTGGGAGATAAATAAAAAAATTTCTCAAAATAAACATTGATGATATTCAAGTTTGTGTACTAATAATAGAATAAATAATAGTAAATAACTAGTAAACAAATCTTTTTTACAAACTTGGATTTTATAACTGGACATCAATGTAAAACTATTTTACCAATAGTTTTTAATTTTACCTGTCTAAGACATTGTGTTAATGAATCAATCCAATTTTTTCTAATTCCACTTGTTACAGCTACCAGTCGTATTTGACCATGATTAGTCTAAATATATTGAAGAATATAAATACAAATAACAAATTCTTATAATTTTACAAATAATTTAACTTACGTTTATGATAAATGAATTATTTTCTTTTGTAGATAATTCTTCAACAGATTTACAATACATTAAATCAAATTTTCCTGCAGGAATTTGATTTTCATCAACATTTGCATCTTGATAATATAATAGAGAATCTTCCGTTAATATAAACCAATAACGACACCAATCCTAGCAGAACACATTAGGCATTATTGACTTTGTTATACGATTTGAATATAGATGTATGTTATAAGCAAAAATTCAGACAAATTTAGAAATTTTATTAGGTAAAATTGAAAATCGATCAGATAAACTTAAAATCATCAAATAAAAGATGAATTTGTCGCAGAATGTAAGCAAACTCTTGGTGAAACATGAATTTTTTTTTAGCAAATTAGATCTTACATGGTCGTTTTGAGCTTGAAAACCGTTATATATTTTAGCAACATCCAGAGAGCACTAGAACCGTGATAGTGAGCCACAAAAGCAGAATACAACGAAATATCAGTTGTAGAAATATACCTATTTTATATGAACCCACATCGAAATCTGGTTTTGTAGTCCATTCTCACGGCTATGATGGACACTGAATATTGTTTCCATGTCTAGATGATTTATGAAGTCAAGAGTGATATTAAAAGCGATTTTTTTACAGTAAAAATCATCTTATACCAAGAGTTTGTCCAGGCAGATTTGAAATGTGTGAATTTGAGAAATACCTATGACAAATCCATGTTTTATTTGATGATTTTAAGTTTCTTTAGTTAAATTTCAATTTTGCCTAGTTAAACTTAGAATTTCCGTTTTGTCTATAACATACATACGTGTATAACATACTTTTTGATTTTTTTCTAGTTTTGATAACCATCCTTTTCGAATAATATTCCCATTTGTATTCTTGATTTTTTCATCAGTCTGCTAGAAATAAATTATTTAAATTTTGAATTTATTCTTTGATATGATAAAAAAACAGATATAAACCTTATTATTATTATTGTTATTGTTTACATTTTCTTTTTTTGCCGATTGTTTAGGATTTTCTTCTGTCACTGAAACTCTGGGCAACGATTTACTTCTCTCTGTATTTAATTTTCGCTCTTTATATATTTGCTGTTTAGTTTTTCGTTCTGATGATTGGGAATTAGTTAAATCAGAAAATGTTCGCGGTTGAGTTGTTGTTGTTGTCGAAATAAATTTATTTATATTGTTTAGATATTGTTCACGTTTTTTTGTTTCATCTGCATACTCAGATGATAATTCATTTAATTTACGTCGTAAACGAATGACCGATTCATCACGTTTACGATTTAATTCTGTATTAGTTAGTTGTACAGTTTCATTTGGATGTGAGATGATCTTTTCATGTTTATTTTGTTGTTCCGAAATCTTTGTACCGTTATTTGAAATAATTATAGGCGGTGATGACAATGTATCCTTGAAAATGAATGAAACAAACATATAATTAATATCGTTAGATTATAAGAACAAATGTGTGAACATACCGAAGGTCGATTTTGTGTAATAACGATGGATGTTGAATGTCTGTTAGAAGAATTTTTCAGAATGGATGATGTTGATTTTGGAGAATATTGTGTTAATAACTGTTGCCATCTTCGAATATCATCTTTTGATGTTGATTTTATGAAATATTGTTTTGAATTGTTTAGTTGAATTTGAAGAGAATTGGTGTGACCAGTATACTCATCACTCGATTTAACACTCGAACATTTATGTAAATCAATTCGTTCTTGTGGAAGAGTAAAAGGCTAAAATACATAAAGAATTAGATTAGAGAAATATTTGATTCATTTATTCAACATCATCTTACATTTTCATCGACGGAATATGTTAATTCACCATCATCAAACAAAACGAAGTATCGCCATTGCCATTTCTATAATATTAAAAACGTAATGAACTTAAACACACAATAAAACATAAACACATACTCGTATTCGATCTTGTTCATTGGAAAAATTTAATTCAGCAGGTGCCACAAATAAATAACCATATTTAGATAGTTTACGAGATAACTAAAGAAAACAAAAAGAACAGAAACTAAATAGTAGAAACAATAACGATTATAAACATCATCTAGATAACTTTTGCTAGTTTTCAAAACAGATATTTGTCTATTATCAACATAACTGTATTTGAAATAAATGTATATGTCTCTAATCTGGATGTTTTCTGACAAGTTTGATAAAAGGACATCTATGTTTCTCGTTAACTATTTAATTAGTTCAACAGCGTTGAACTACTGCTGAATCCTCTTATCTACTGAAAATCCGTCCACTAAAGAAGCGTTGTTCTACCAAAGATGTGAATCGTTTTTTTAAAAACAGTGTAAGAATATCAGGTTAACTGAGATAACAAACTTCTTAGTCAGTTTCTTTTTTGTCAATGACCAAGAGGTCTATCATTCCATGTTACGATTTTCTCCTTGATTTTGTAAAAAATAGTTTTTTTTACAAAACTAGTCCAAAATATCTTTATGGAGGAAATTAAACAGGGCTTTTCAATATTTAATTGTTTTTATTCAAAAAAACAACAACAAACAATTTTTAGCAGACAATGTGCGGATATTTTTGTACAAATTTAAATTTGGTTTAGCGTCTATTAATGGAGATATACAACTTTTATAGAACATATTTTTGGAAAATTTTAATTTTTTCGACGATTTCTCTGATCTTCTTATGACGAACACAAGATACTAAATCCATGCACAAATACATCCATTGTATATTCAACGATGGAAAATGATTAATAATTAATGAGAAACATGGAAATCACATCAGCATTCTTCAACCAAACTTTTTTTTAATTTCTCAGAAAGCATTCCACCTGAACATCTAAAATATCTTCACAAATAGGCAGTTGATCATACACAATAACTTTCATTTTACCAACATTAAATTGTCTAAAATGGCTTATACAATTAACTAAAATGACTTTTTTTTATTTTATTATGCGAAAAAAAAATATTTCATTTGATTTCGTGAAAACATTTTGTCATAACAATCAACGCCCGATAAGAGGAAGAATGTAATAAAATTTGTATTAAATAATCATGATAGCTGTGTCACGTAGTGTCTTTAAAAATGTAAACAAGCTAATTGTACTTGCTTTTCGTGACACTTCAAATAAACAGTATATAGATTCATTTAAGAAATAAATTGTTTAAAACAATGTGTGATCGGAAGTAGACATTCTATGTAACAGCCTAATAGACTTGTTATTAATTTGCGCGAAAACAATCGTCTTAATGTGTCACAATTGAATATAAAGTCGGATAAAACAGTTGAATAATATAAATGAAAGTATCTTCATCGTTTTTCGAGACGATGGGAAAAAGAAAAAAAGGAACATTACAATATATTTTTTGTTCAATTTGAATTCAATTATCTGAGCATTTGTTCAATAGTATTAGAATAAATGTAAAAATAAAATGGTGCGTATGTGTATGTCAACGATCATACCTTTATTTTCTTCATCAATTTTTTAGAATATAAGAAAATTTTACTTATATATTCATACAATATATTACTGTATATACGTAATGGTCATAAAGATTGATGATACTCCTCTGAGACCTTGAATAAACAAAAATCAATAACATGTTTGTCATGTACATAGACATAGAATAAGATATTTTAATTAACACCAAATGATTAATTGATACAATTGAGTGAGACAATTTAGAAAGTGGTGAAAAATTATTTGTTTCTCATTATTTAAAAAAGATGAGTGAATAGAACCCGATATTCACAAAAACATCATTCTTTATGTAGATAGACTATGGATGTTTATGGTTTCAATTTCGATAAGAACAAGAAATATTAGAAAAATTTCATAGTATTCTTGAAAAACTTAAAATTTGTTCGATATGAAGTAATACAAAGTATAGAGACACGGCCCATGAACAGCGTGTAGAACTTTTCGCTATATCTTACTGATAAAATATGTTCGTATTAATAAATATCGCTTCGTTTCTGTCTCTTTCTCTCTCTCTCTCTATATATATATATACACAACAATTAACTAATTATTGCTTAGGACTGAATCGTACACGAAGTGTTCGAATGTTACACTTGCATCTCAGTCTATATATGACTTTCAAACGTGATTTCTTCTTCTATTCATATATTCTTAAGTACATATTAATCAGATAAAACCATTCATCTCAACAATAAACCACGGATAAATTGACAACTCGGTAACTAAGTAGACAAGCTTATCTTAGCATCTTCTTTGCTTTATACAGGAAATCTTTTCATACAACTAAAAACTGTTTAGATACATATGGAGAAGACTTTATTAAAGTAAATATCTTCATTAATTGTTCAGTGTAGCCATTCTTTATTACGAAATCTATTGCTGATGACCTTGTTATATCACACACAGCTCTGTTCTGTTCTTTTCATCTTTATCTCAACAGTAAGATCATTATTCAAATGGTACAATATTGTCATCATGAATGCTCATATAACAATAATCTGTTCTGTCTTTCAATGTTGCACATACTCATGCGTATTCCGATAGTAAAATCTTCTACTGTTGCACTCTAATAATAGCAACAGAGTGAAAAAAAAATGGCCAAACATTATTTTTATCCTATACAATATATTTGATAAATTAATGAGAATATTATCTTTCCATATCGTTAGAAAAAGAATTTTGAACATTTCATTTTTAAGGTCAGAGTTCGATGTTATAAGTAACAATACAAAAACATTAGTTACAAAATGTGTTAACTGTTGTAACATTTGATAACGATTAGAATTATCTGATTATACATAGCAATATGTTGATGATTATTCGATTCAAAGATGTAGAATATATGAAAATTTCATCAAAGAAAAAAAAAAAAAAATTGATATGATGAATATTTTTTTGTTCATCTTGTTTTGCGGAGAACAAGTACGAATAGTATAAATTTCAATTTGAATTTTTAGATTGTTAGTATATATAATCATGCACCTACTAACTAAAATGTCATCATTTTAATTTCCCTTGCGAAGAAAATATGACTTAATAGAAATTTCTATAAAAATCGTTTTTTTTTTCTTTCACGAGTACTACTCGCACATTAGGATACATTCTATACCTCTGATTCGGTTCATGATGAAAGTCCGCCAACCGTTAAACTTAATGAACGATGACGTATAAAATGAAACTTCACAAAAAAAAAAAGAAAAGAAAAACCTTTTTGGCAAAGTGAATATTGTATTCTACCCCATTATGACTGTAAATAAACAAATAGAAATAAATTCAAAAGATTAAAATTTTCACGAAACTAAAATCACAACGAACAAATAGAAAGTAATTTTCGAACAACGTTATCAATTTGTAACAGGTACTTGAAGTGTACAATTGAAATCTTCTGCAAATTGGTGAAGTTTCTTTTTTTTCTATTTTCTGTTGGCTAATTTGCAATAGAAGGTAAGAAGAAAAAAAAAATGAACTAGTCCTTCTAATTTTCATTATGATACGAAGAGCAATGCTTAGCTAGAGACGAATATTTTCAAGTTTAATCAACGTTCAAACTCGCACTTACATTTGTATAATTTGTATTAATTGTTTGCTCATCATCGTAATAGAACATGTCTAATGTTCGACTATTAAGTGAACTATATGTATGTGTGTGTGTATGTGCACACGAAATAATATTCCTTCTTCTTCTCTTTTTTCAAGTTATGTAACGAAGAACGTTTAATGGCAAAATTGTGTTGAATGTGATCTATTGTAACAATCGTGCTGCATGTTCTCATTTGAGACTAAATTTCTTCTTTCTTTTTCTTTCGACAACTGTAGAGTATAAGAGAAAGAAGAAAAATTGTTGTACAATAACTCAAGCGAAAGATCGATGATAGGAGTCCGTATAGAGTGTATAGTTCAATATGTATATATATCTCTTACGGGAGAAGGGAGAAATAGAGACCTTGAATACCATTAAAGAAAACATAGACAAGAATAAAGTCACCTCGTAGACCGTTTACATATACATATATGGATGTTTAAAGTAAAGTACTTAATCACAACGCATATACACACACACATACACTATTATAATGGGATTGATAGAACATATCATTCATTACAGAGACAGACAGTTAGTTTTACATCAGACACACAAAAACTATAATTATAGACATACATACAAATACAAATTGCATAGTACAATTCATTCTTAAAACGACACGAATACTATAATAACATCAAAGAATAATCAAAAGAAATATGTTTCAATGGATAGAAGTTACACCAGCAAGATAACAAATTGTCAAAGATAAAATCAAGATTAAAAACAATATTGAAGAAAAAACAAAAATATATTTTTTAATCCTATTTTCACAAATTGTCATTAAATATTAAAGTTGTATTTAAGTAGACAATCGAAAACATTATTTTAGATGGAACATCATTACATCTATTGTCTTAAATTAAAAAAACAAAAATTGGGAATGTTTAAAAATTGAGTAAAAAGTAATGTATTAATACATCTCTGTAGTACAATGATAAATATTACAATCGTTAATTAGTTTTGTTTGTTAGTTACAGTAGATTGTATGGACAAAAGAATTATGAAACCTCTAGTTTATGGGTATTGAATGACATCACTACAAAAACATAGTCGAAAAGAATCTACAAAAAAACACTTAACACTAACAAAAGAAAAAAAAATGGATATTTTATGTCCTCAATTTCACTTGACATGCAGATTTTAAAGATTATGAACCACAGACTGCGGTTTCATAATAACTATCAAACAATCAAGTTTAACGCTTCTAATAGGTTATATATGTTCAATAGTATAAAATCTAAAATTTTTGACCTATTGAGAAAAGGAAGGAGTTGCAAATAAAAAAAAAAATAGACACTCTGAAAAAAAAAGTAAAAGATAGTGGTAACACTATAATATATTTGATAAATCATTTGAACAAAGTAACACTGAAATATGTATGAATAGTAAAATGAATTTTATTTTGTACATTTTGTACAACAAATATATACGAGTGTATATCTATCATCTAGTTGTCTCTATCCATTATTGTTAATCCGTCAATACACAAATATATAAGATGGTTATTCGTTTATCGAATGTTTAAAAATGAATTAGTCTTCCTATTTGTAACACGAGACAAAAAACTTTAAAATCACTTCAAAAGCACAGAAATACATATATACATACATATATATATTCAATTCAAGAAGAATGATAAAAATATACAACAAAAAAAAGAGGAGAGAACAAAGTTCTCTCATTGATATCCTTATTCTACAAAAAGCTGTATCAAATGAATCGTTATAAATCTTCAGTATACTGATCAAATCACGCCATAGGAGAAAATATATATCATTGTACTAGTATCTTTTTGATTTATAAAATATTTTCTCTCTTTATTATAATAAGAAATTCTCATAAAAATTATTAGTTAACAATATAGTCTAATATTTGAATTTATTTTCTAATTTACAATGATAATAAATAATTATTATTTTTTGAATATTTTCAATTTCTATTTTTTCCAAAAACAAAAAAAAATTTTCCTAAAATATTTTACTTACCATAATGAATGAATTTAATTGTTAATGTCAAGAGTAAAAAATATCGGAACAATACATATAGTTTTTATATCATTTCTAGTTTGAAATGCAAAAAAACAATTTTTTTTTTTTTTATTTCTTCGGATTTTTCTTAATTTGATAGAAAAAGGTCAAGCACACATCAATCGAAATGAACAGAACAGAAATAAAAAATATATATTTGTAGGTCATCAATATAAATTTTTATTATTTCAAAAAACTTCCTTCCTATGAAGGTAACACTCACTCATCAATTTCAAAAGCTCACAAGTGTGATCTATTGGATTGTACAAAAAAAAAAAAAATGTTTTAATTGTATCCTATACTTGATGTTTTATAATATTTTAAAAAAAAAAATTAATAAACATTCTGCATGATTTTGTAAGCTATGCTTGAGAAAATATTTAATATAGTTGAAAATTTTGAACATGAGTAAAATCATCATGCTTCATTTGATATATGAAATTTGATTGTCGACCTTTTTCTTTTTTTGTACAGCTCTTCGCAAAAGAAAATCATCACCTAAATTTACGTTTTTTTTTTTTCTTTTTTATTTGTTGTTAAAAGAATCCAGAAAACGTTGTCGTTCTCATTTAACAGATAAATAAAAGCATATTTTCTAACATTCTTCTTAGTGTAAACAAAATAGCTTTGATTATTTATTTCAAGCTCAAAATTTCGATGTGTATTTACTTTGATTTCATAGGAGATAGTAAGAATCACTAACCTTCTTTGAATTTTGTTCTTCAATTGTATTTACATTATTCGATGCTACTTGTATTTGATCATGTTTTCTCTGAATTGGTAAACTAGTGGTTAACATTTTTTTTTCTTTCAAAATAAGTCGCTATTATTTTTAATACTATTCTAATGCTATGAGAAATCTAAAAGGAATAAACAAAATCATTGAAAACGAGAGTATCTAGAAACAGCAAAAGAAGAAAAAGAACCTGCAAAGATTCCCGACCTGTCATAACAATGACTGAAGCCAAACAACAACAACAAAAAAAGAAAAAAAAATGAAAAACAAAAAATGAAAAGAAAAGGAAACGAGAGTATACAACAGAAGATAAATAAACATGATTAAAATAAAATCAAAAAAGAGAACTTACGACAGGTTTAGTTGAACGTCATTATGAAAGATGTTAAGAAATGTCATTCCTTTTTGAATGATAGTAAAGACGAGAAACGAATAGTTTCGAAAATTTTTAGTCACAAACATTACGAGTGAATAAAACAAGGAAGAAGAAACGGTTCGTAGAACAAAACTGTCAACAAGAGGTGAAATGCGAACATATTTACAATGATAAGAGCGTAGAAAAGAGTAGTGTGGATGATGGAATAATAGCACAGAAGATGGAATGAAGGATAGGACGATAGTAAAAATTGAAGAACAAGTCTAAACTACTGGCGTCGAAGAGAGAAGTTTGAGAAATAATTAGAGAGCTTGAAAAGTAGTACAAATTATGAGAAAAAACACGAGAAACAAGTTTTTCTACAGCGTCAAGAACAGAAAGAGAAAGAAATGTCATACAAGGCACAGTAATAATCAAGTTTCGGAAGAATAGAGGAACCCGATAACTCGACATCGAACTTCTGGCGGAACTAATTCAAAAACATGATTCAGCGCTCTTAGACTGTATCAACAGGGAAGAGTAACGTTTGGCCTGCTTAATCCATCTTAAATCATTAAACTGTTAGAGGATAGGACGTCAGTGTTGGCGACGGCACGATTCACGAGATTTTTTTCTTCTATTTCCCTTTTTCATTCTGCACGAGATATAGCACTAGTTATTTTTTACTTTTATAATAAATGAATTTAAGCCTCTGTCTTCTGTTCTTCAAGTATCCTTGGAAGGAGAAAACATATTTAGTTCGACTAACGGAGATAATGCAGCTAAAATCCCAGTTCGAGAATTGTACGAGGAAAAATATTCTGTTCTACGTGTACTCGAGAAATTTTTATGATTACAGTTCCAATAAAGAGTAAAATTCTAAATTAAAACGCCGAGATTTTTGTGTGATGTCGATTAGGGTAAGACGAACAAAGTGATGAATCTTCAACTAAGTTTGATGGTCTACTTATGAGTATTTCTGTCTCATTATGTGACTTGATTGAGTAATTTAATTTCTTTTATCGATATAGTAATAAAAAAATTTAGTTATATTAGGTTTTTTCTCAGCTGCTAGCAAGTTGTCTATTGGTCAAAGAATGCCATTGAAATAACGATGAACCAATTAACGATTGAATTCGGAAAATTAAAGCAAGTCTTGTTTTGCCTAAACAGATCTCTGTTATGATTTCAGATAGCGCTTTATATTCCGTTTTATATAGCTTATATTCCGTTATAGAATAACATTACCATCATAGGTATCATCGTAGATATTTTATGGAAACACGCGACATCTTTTAAATTTGAGTTTTGTGTTCGAATATCTTAAATTCAGAAAGGCATCACACATGTTTTTCCAGTATATTGTTAGTTTTAGCGTGGAGATCAGTCAAATTCTAAATGCCGAGTTTTTTTAGACAAATTATTAGTCAACGGTTTCGCAATCAAATCGTTCCTTTTTATATGAAGTCGGCCGCTTGTTTGTTTCGGAAATGTTCAAGAACACATCTTGTCTCATTAAACACATTTACGAGTGAACCTTCTCAGATAATTGAAATCTTTTCTCATTAAAACTAGCTATTTCAGGTTTATTCTTGATATTGATCACGAATGTGATATTCATTTGTGTCCTTCGGGATTTTTAGTTCTCTCTAGAAATCTGGTCTCTAGAGATTCATCTCATAGTTTCTGTTTAATAGACTCTGGTACCGTCAGTTCATAAAGCAACTAGAGAGTTCCATATATCAAAAAAATTTTAGGCCTATAGAATTAGATTCTGTTGTGTCAGCTAGAAATCCCGTATTTTCATCTATTTTTGAAGTTTATTTTATGTAAATTGTTTTACTTCAGTAAAACTTATTTAGTGGTTGGTTCTAAAAACTTTTTTATCGATGTTAAATCGAATTTCTCTACAAACTGACGGTATTCAAGGCTGTTAAACTGAAATTATGAGATGGGTCTTGAGGGACCAAATTTCTTGTCATTAAAATATGCTATTAATCATGTTTTGTTGCTCTAAGATGTGTCTCTTTTAGTGCCTCACTGCATGTTTGTGCCAGAAACTCATAAATACATTACTGTTACATTTTTTTGATAGTACTCAAAAGAATGAGGATGTGCAATGCGAGAGAAAAACATTGGTTGTAATAGAAACATATTCAAAACTAGTACGCAGACATTGTACACAACTCATCTAAGATTCGACGCTAATCATACAGTTCATTTAATTCTATTTTAATTTTTGTCATAAGTATTTTTTTTATTCATTTTAGAACTATATTTTAACTGACTTTTCTACACTTCGATTTTTAAGTATGTTTATAGGATATAGATTATTTAGTTATCTGTTTGTTCTAACACTGTTTTGTTTTATTAAGTGTCGTCTGCTAGTGATTTTCAACGTTTACATAATGGAATAACAACAAATTTACAGAAAATTAGTAACAATGGTACGCATCAAATTATACTTACTATAGTTCAGATTAATAAGATTTTCTTTATTTCTTTAATTAGTGACCGATATTGAAAGTTTAGTAAAAAAGATTGGAACAACTGAGGATTCAGAAACATTAAGAGAGCGTTAGTAAGTTTACTAGTATACGGCAATAAAACTTTGTGTATTAAATTAATGTTTACTTCTATTTCAGCCATAAATTACAAAATGATACAAAAATTTTATCACAAACTACAAATCAGGCTCTTCAGCAATTGAATCATATTCCAGTACATACAGAAGCAGAACAAGTTAGTTAACATGTTTTTAAAGTTTGGCATATGAATGAATTAATTATGTTTATCTTTTGTGTATATTTTAGAATCGTAAGAAACTATTGACGGAGAGTTTACCGACACAATACTTACAATCATTAAATCGTTTTCAACAAGCACAACGTTTGGGTGTTCAAAAGGAAAGAGAAAGTTTAAATAGAGCAAGAGCCCAATCGGTATGTATCGTCACTGTGAAAAGACATCGTTTTACTATTTTTTATCTTGGTTTCTAGCAAGAGGGCGTGACATTATTCGATAATCGAGAACAAGAACCGTTTGGCTCGACCTATAAAAGCCCTCAACAACAAACTCAAGCTATTTTAGCTGTAGAAAATCATGTTGATTTAAAAACAATTCATGAGAGAGATCAACAATTAAGAAGATTAGAGGTAATACTAACATATTTCTTAGCTACATAATGACGAGGTTAACGATGAAAGACTTACTATTGTCTATACATTCCAAATTTCTCATGTTCTTTCATTATCACTTGTTATTACTCTCATTATTTGTGTTATCTTAATTTATACTTATTATAACATTAATATTTTTATTTTAGGGTGACATAGTTCAAGTGAATGAAATTTTTAAAGATGTCTCAAAACTTGTCCACGAACAGGGCGAAATTATAGGTAAATAATAATAATCTTTTAAAACAAACCAAAATACAATGTACTAAAATTTCGTCCTGCGTTTATTTAGATCACATTGAGGTTCACATAGATACTGCTCAACATGATGTACAGCAAGCATCAAGTTCATTAAAGCATGCGGTTGGCTCTCAAGTACGTGCAGTAGAAATATGTCATTCAAATATTGAGCATCCACGTTGACAAAATATGTTAATGTTAACTTATTATCTTGAAATATTTTAACTTCTAAAACTGTGATTATCGCCTAGTAATAGATTCATTCACTCTTTACAAAGCATTTCGTCATTTTCTCTTTTTTACGCAACACTATCTCAGAAAATGATATCCTTTGACAACAAATCATCTACATAAAAGTCTTATTTAAAGAATGTAGATAATTTATTACTCTAAGAAAAGAGTTCTTTGTCTAATATGATAAACTAATATATATTATTTTTCTTTCTAGACATCCGCTCGTCGAAAAAAAATTTGCTTAGTATCGATTTTGATCGCTATTATTGTAATTATAACAATGTCATTCATTATACACTTTACTCGAAAATGAACAGTTACGTTTTAATTCAGATTTAATCTTCATTATTTATTGTTTATTGTTAGCGGTTTATCAATTTCTTCATTATTTTGCTTTTCAATAACGTTTATTTTTTGTTTAGAACTTGTATATGTCGATACGTGAATGATGAATGTTTATTTATATTTATTAGTGCATTTACTCTTCTTTTAAGTTTTTCTTATAAATCATAGTAGTCGTTAAGTTAATGTTGTTGCATTTTCCATTGTGAATAAATTTCCATTCATATTCGCTTTTTATTTTGTAATTGTATTGTATTTGTGTTTGTTTATCTTGCTTATATTAATTCATTATTCTATTGTTGATAAAGGATATAATCCAAACATTGTCAGGTTCATTACAATATGAACATCGCTATGTTGGATTCATTTCGCTAAAAAGAAATTTTAGAGAGAAAAGTTTCAAAAGAGAAAACAAATCGATGAGTCATTTCTTTGATATGAAAAATAATCAAATATTCGAGGAGACTTCTATCTAAACTTTTAGAAGAGAAATACTTTCTTGAACAAACGCACTGACTTCCAGAATGATGTTGTTTATTGTACGAGATAGAATGATCATCGGAGAATGTCGCAAATTTTTAGAAAGAAAAAAGCAAATTAAAATCTTTTTTTGCATGTTCATCATTTTGTTTGATAAAGTTGTATGTTAGACATATTTTATATCAAGTTTTTGTTTCAGAAATAAACGTTTATTGATTTGTTTTATAAAATTATTATCAACATCTTTTTCTTGCGTATGCTATCTCACCATCTGAATAAATTTGAACGAATTTTAGAAACAATCAAAATATTCTATTATAAACATTCAACAACTTATTACTCTGAGTCTCAAACGTGACATTTTTAATAAGATGTATTTGGGAGCACCAGAGACAAGTAATTTAACCCAGTAACTGGCAAATATTCGATCAAAAGAATACAGTCATACCAAAAATTCGAGCGTTCTCAAATTTATCCAACAATAAACTAGATAATCAGACATCTGGTGTTTTTCATTTCTCATACCATCCAAAAAAAGAATATTTTAAAACTGATCGTTATGAGTTAGATGAGATGTAAAATGAATTCCGAAAAATTCCGAAAAACTTGAGTAAACAAACTTATTATTGATTAAAGAACTGATATTCACTAATGTTAACGTTGTTTTACTCATTCTCTGATTGTCATATAACTTATATAGAAAAAGACGACTGTTTATATAATCCTCAATAATCTTAAAATGTACAATGCATGTGTCTCTATTTTACATCAAAAACGGATAATTTTATTTGATAAGAAGAAATGCCATAGAGTCGCTGTGAAAGATCTAAATAACTATGACATTCGTTTTGAATGACAACGTGAAAAGTAGCAGAATAAGTTCTAAGAGAACTAAAAAGTTCAACATACCTTTAGGTGCAATATATTAAAAAATGTATACATTGCTGTCTATTAGATGAAATATTTTTGTCCACATGATTCCTGTAATATAATATCAATCAGAAAAGTTCACTCATCTCACATATTTTTCTTTCAAATCTTGGAAAATCAATATTTTGATAACTATACTTTATTTTAATCTATCTGTTTATCAGCATCAAACAGGTATTTATGAATTATATTTTTATATCTAACTATTAAAAATACTTTTAAATAAAAATTAATGGATAAATTTTACTTTACGAGTAGAGTTGCTCACGAGAAGATTTTTCTGAAAATAATTAGCTGCAGTCTTTCCTCTGCGTAAAATTTGGCACATATGTTTCATTAACGATAAATCTATGATACATATAATGGTTTCTCTATCCAACTTGAAAAAAAATGAATCAAATTGTATATTATTTATTTATTTATCTACTTTTTCGAAAAATATACTATATCTACAAACAAAATACTTGACTATAAAACTCTCATAATTGTCGTATAAGAAACGAGTGGAGTATTTTCTTCTAAATGAACAGCTGTGGCCGCAACATCTACTGAATGTTCATATTCACCACGTGCTTCCATTGACAAACTCAATAAATACCTAAATAAAGAAAATGGAAGCTATTAGCATGATGTAATCAACACAACTCCTATAATTGTCATAGTTTCAATCGATGTTAACAAATTGAATGTAATTTTATACCACTATTTCTTACCATGGTTCATAATTGGCTGGTTCAACAGCAATTGCATCTCTTGCATATTTTTCTGCTAGTGCATAATTTCCAATTTCGATAAGTAATTTTGTCATTTGAATAAGTGTTTGAAAATGGTACGGATGAATGGCTAAAGCATCATTATAGTTTTGTTTAGCCAATTTTAATTCTCTTTTCGCATCACAAATTAATCCTCGTATGTAAAATAACTGATGTGATAGAGGACATAATCGACTAGCTTCATCTAAACACTGATTAGCTTCTACTAATTTATCTATCTTAATATAATAACGAACTAAAATATTCAAAATATTGAATAGAATAGAATTATACACGAAACAAAAATGTATTATTAATCCTCTAGTTACAGGTTGTTTTTTTGGAAAAATGACAAAAAAATTAATTTTTTCAAAAAAGAATCACCAAGAGAAGAAAGATGTATACATACATGGTGGTGCTACACGATGATGCTATGATATTGGCAACATCAGAGCACTCTTATAATCTGACAAAGAGGGACGGTCACAACAGCCGTAATCTGAGCAAAAGCTCAAAATGTATGTATACGGGTCGTGTAACTAAAGGATTAAGAGAAAATTGATTAATCTTTTCGATTTTACCTAGACACTCCCAGATTTTGAGTAAACTAAAATAAACTGGTTGTGTTGTAAACATTGAACTTGATGATTTATCGCCAATGGCTTCGTTGTCAAACGGTATCAACGAAAATATAGCTCTTAAACCATCTTCAACTCTTAACGTTTGATTCTGAGCATTTACTATACAATAACAGAAAAATAGATCTTTTTGAATAAATACAATTGAAGAAGAAATTCATACATACACATTTGTTCACCATCTAAATCTGTACCAGTTACTGACGGTTGTTGAGAACGATTTCGATTATGACCAATACTATAACGAAAAATTCAAATGAAATAGACATTTCAAACTAAATGATCTTTTCAAAAGATAAAAATTGCTTGTTAAGCACTGCATATTTTATACAAGGTAAACTTAAATATTATAAATGTTATTAGATGAATTGAATAAGAGCAAAAGCAGTATCAGCAGTTTTTATACAGCCGTTTCTTTTTTTAACATATATTTTCTACTTATTCAAAGATCAATCAATGATATATTATAGAGAAAATGAAAGATAATCAGTAATCATTACAACAAAACAGATAGTAAGAGTACTTTTTATTATTACTAATAATTTTCATCTTGATCATGTTCATTTTCCGACATAATTTGAATAATTGTGCACATGTGAAACGTTTTTTATTTTCATTAGTTGACATTCAATCATATGGATTTAAATATAATAGTGATTAAAATGTGATATCATTAATATTAATAATAAGATTGTCTTCTTTTCTAATCTTTTTCAAGGTAAGATTGATAAAGTCCTTCATGATGACTAAAAGACGACGAATAGGTAGCATGAATTACACGCCAATTAGTATGACTAAAAGTACCAAGTGAAACTATCAAAGTGAGAAAATCCATATATATATATATATGTATATATATATATGATTTTCTACCAAAATTCTCAAAAGGTAACTTGAAATATTTCAAACAAATTTTAGACAACAAGATTGATCCACCGTATAAAGAAGAATCTATTTTGTTGAAACAACAAATTGAAATACCAAAGTAATTATTCGATGAACAAACTATGTTGGAGATGAGAAGCACTCAATGAACAACTAGAATTTATAACTACTTTGATTTTTTTTAAATATGCTAGATTCAGACAAAGCGTCGGTTAGTTATCGTTACATTTTTTGTTTATATTTTAACTAACGAGAAAACCTATCCAAGTGATACCTTCCGATTTCATTCGTTCATAAGTCGATCGATAGAGGGTATCGAGCTATTAAAAAGCCTAAAATGATTTTTTGCTTGAAGAACGGATTTTCTGGAAAATCGGGTCTTCAGAAATCATGGGGAAAAATCATTTTAGGCTTTTTACTAACTCGATACCCTCTGTTGATCGAAAGATATCACTTGGATAGGTTTTCTCATAAGATCCAAGCGTTTTCTTTTGAAAATATTTTCATAATAATCATGAAATTGAGATATTGTACATTATGTCTAAATTATTATTTGTTATTGTAAATAAAACTATTTTTCTTAGTTCAGACACTTTTTTCAATGAATAGGATTTATTCACAATTAAGATTTATATACGTGCCATGATAATGAAGAGATGTGTGGACAAAGTGTCTAAAGACGAATGGACGAATCGCAATTTTTAAGCGTAAAAATGATGCAATAATTCGCGTTTTACCCTTATTTTGCGAATTCGTACGAATTGATGCGGACTGTATCGAATTCGTACGGATACTCTTAAAAACTTTTATGATTTCTTCTTGCGAAGTCGTAAACAGAGAATAGATCAAACACGATGCTGATCAATTCGCAAATAATTCGTAAAATTAGTTTACGAA